GGCTTTAAGTATGGAACTACAATTTTACTCGAGTTACATTGTGTCGGGTTAGGAGCGCAGAAAAAAAAAAGAAAAATAATTGGTGACGCTTCTGTGAAGACTACCTACAGACAAGTTTATCCGATCATGCTTTATTTGCTCAAGTCATACTTAGGCCTGATCTGATAGAGACTGCATCCCGGTAGGCTAATAATCGTGCACACAATACCGTACAAACACATCACAATGACGGCAAACTAATATCGGAATAACGGGACAAAGCATAATAATATCATATCGAACCCCTACAATATTCCCCCACAGATGAGTTTAATTAAAGATTAAAAATAGATTAGGGTCTCAGTGAGAGTATTGTGTACAATACAATTGTGTTTCCGGGGCCTGGCTTGACCATACTTGCGACATGCGGCGATAAACCTTACACGGAGAAAACTCAAGTCTCGGTCAACTTTTTTTTTATACTGAAAACAATGCGAGGCTTTGGCGTGGAGGAAATTTAGAACCGTCCGTGTATTTGTTATTAAAATTCACTTATTTGAACATGTCTTCTCCAAGTTGACGGCGAAATTTAAATAACAAGCTTTCCTAGAACGTGTACAGACAGACATCTGGAATGTGTTGTAAAAAAATCATAAATCGCAGCTTTTACGAAATTTCTCTTTATTCTGACAATAGCGCGTTAAAGTTAAAGGAATTTAATCGCTAAACTGAACTGCGCGAATGGTATACATTTATACATTGAAATAAAGAAGGACGAATAAAACAAGTTCCATCTCCAAAAAACAACGTTTGCGTTTTTCCCGCGAATTCTAAAATTTCCTTATCCGTTTCTCCTGGAGTGACCTTTATATTGACGCAATAACAATGTATTCATAGATTTACTAACATTTCAAAAACACTTCAAGGAATCAATGGACTAACCGATGAATTAGCCACGCGATTAATTCACCGTGGTATATATATATATTTAAAAATTCCAATGTTCCAATGATTTCGCCCATACCAACCCCCTCAATTATTTGTTCATAATGTTAATTAAAAACTAATTCAGCAATAGTGTAGGATAAGACCGTCTTCCTGACATTATATTGCTAAATCGAGAGAAGAGAAAAGAGAGAGAGAGAGAGAGAACATAAACTTTTAATTAGGTAGATGATACGATAAATACATTTTCATATAAAAAAGGCTAATTTGTATAATGTAATTACCAAAGATGGACAGTTTATTATTAATAAAGGGCAGATTGTAGCTAAGTTGTATTTGATAAAATGTAAACAAATTGTATTATGGTGTACTGTTTACTGATTAAATCTCAAGAATTGGTCAAGGTGGCACTACAAATACCTAGTGTTATTTTCCCTGAAAATAATTTGTGCTTAATAAAATTTAAATTAAATGCAAGTTAAATCAATTATAATAAACCGACTAAATTTTAAATAGCTTTAATTAAATTACACTGTACTTAAATACATTTTTGTTTTTTTCTTACCTTATACATAAATTACTTTTATCTTTTTACAAGAAGCTCTAAATACCTTTATTTATATATATATATATAAACCACGTTGCATTAACGAAGCAAGGGTAATTTTGGAACTGGGAGGGTTGTGCGCCTCAGTTTGTGTAGGCCAATTTTAATTTTACAGCGGGGGGGAGACTAGTTTTAGTCACTTACCGGGTCTTTGAATTAAATTTGCATTTCCTAAACGTTTTTCAGGCGGTTAGATGTATAGGTCAGTGCAAGTTCAAGTCTTTAGGCTATACTATGTTCATCGTTATTGTTTAAGTTAGAAAATTAAAACAATTATCCGTCCGAATGGGTATTTGTAACCTGCAAATGAGTTTGGTGCCATAGTTTTTTTTTTTTTTGTTATTTACATTTTTTAGTGAAACCGTTGAAAAGTTCAACATGATATCAACGTATTCGGCGTAACTTAATATTTACCGTGGTAACGACCTGAGGGTTACTAATGTATACATAAGCCTGTTGCTTGGGTTCTGCTGACCAAAAATGCGGGAAACGGTCTAATTGATTTACGCTCATATCGTTTCTGAAATTATTTTGCGCTGTCTAAAAAGAAAAAAAAAAAAAATTGAAGCCGGGCATTACTATTCGAACTTACACTTGTGCGTTTTCTCTGTATCTGTTTTCCTCTAATGGCTGGTAATAAATAAAAAATAACCAACAGGTCTCTGCGGTTGTATACACTGGATGTTGCAAACTTAATTTATTTCCTTAAAAATCTAAATTTAATACAAAAACATAAGTTATATCTATACAAATGTACATATGTATAAAAACCACATAGGCGTTTATATAAGACAGAACGGCGCGCAAAGGAAATACATGGAAAATTGTTCCACTCGTGTACATACAATTATTATAGTAGCCCACTCTTGAATGTAACTTATTATTTCCGGCTTTCTGTGTGTGTGTGCCTTATAATAAACATTTCATAGTTGTTTCATTAATTTGTTTTTTCTCTCCGACAACCTAACCGTTTACATCTCGTTACACTTGGTACATATTATATATATATGTGTGCGTTTGTAGAATATACACGTGTACATGCCAATATTACAAATCAGAAACCGCACAACCGTATGCCCAAAAATAAATCCAATAAAAATTGCGTTTGGATAAAGAAATAATTTCCAATAGAAGGCGGTGACGTCAACGGAAAATGAGCCTTATGAAATAAGGTTGTGAATATTATGTTGCCGCGAACAGTTATTTTGTATCCTATAATTTTGTGTTCCAATGAAGTGACTCACTGGACCATATACGGTGTTTAAACTGATTACTATTTCTGGACAACCAAATTACATATATTTAATCTATTTTTTGATACTGTACAATATGCACATACTTAAGGCCAATCAATAGGAAGACAACCAGGCTGGCTGCTCGACTGATTTGAAACATTTCAATTTGTTTTGTAAAACCGTTACACTAAATATAAGAACAAAAAAATGGAAACGTGTACTATGTTTTAAAATTTTGTTGTAATTGAATTCTCTAATAAAAATACTAAATTAAAATGAAATTAAAAAAAAAAATTGAATTAGAAACTTTACTTGAAATTCCAAACTGGCGGTATAATTAGTCTGTAGTTAGAACAAACGTTATAAATTCGATTATTATTACTTTTTTTTGGTTTTAGTGTAAAACTTGGTACTTAAAAACCGTATTTATTTTCAACAAATCGCGTTGATTTCAATCTAATTATTAACATTAGTGGAGTTATTTTTCAAATCCAATTTTTTCACCGTTTTCCTTTATAAATATATGCAATTTTTATGAAGTTCAAAAAAATAAATGTTTAGTTTGGACGAGTATTTAAAATGTATTATTTTCAGAAACAAACAGATATAAAAATAGGTATTTTTTTTTTAATCTTAAACACAGTAAATATTTTAAAATAGTCGTGCAACCGGCCGGGCTAAATCGATTTGCAATGGATTATTTCTTAGTAAAAAAATAAAAGACCAAGTGTTATTTCAATGGTAAAATCCAATAAAATTTGTATTGCTTTATACATTATTAAATAATATTAAATTTATCAACGGATTAATAAAATCCTTTATTGATTTCGTAGAATTACTATGTAAAACTTGTTTACATAGTAATAATACAATATTATTAATCAAATAATAATAATATTGTTTGTTGTTTGCGCATACGAAAATTGTACAAAATTGAATAATACAACTTTTATTAATTTTACAAATACATTTTGTTAAAACTAGAAAATTGATTAACCCTAGTTTTCAGTTAAACCAACTATATATTCTTTTATTGTTAATAGCTAATATATACATATATTTTCCTTTGGGGACATCAAATACTCATATAAAATATGTATAAGCAAATTTAAATCAATTTATTTTATCGAGTCTTGTTGCAAACAAAAATAAAATTGCCATTTCAATTTTTAATTTTGGATATAAAAACTAGTTCTATTATTTACGGCAATAGTTGTGCAAGTATTAATTTTTTTTTAGTAATAAATATCAGACATTTTAGAAAAATCCAAAATATAAATGCAAATTGTTGTTCCCTATATTATTTTGATTCTAACGTAGATAAATCATACATGAAGGTGTTGCTATTTGAATTTTTCCAGCCTTTTCAAACCTTTTCCAGCCCTTTCCAGCCCTTTAAAATTACTCTGTAAAATATTATTTTTAATTTGAATATTAAAATGTATTTTTAAACATTTAAATCGATAAAAGTTTGAATATTTTTTAGCCACAGTAACTAGCTAGTTCAAAGAAAAAACGTATGCTAAACAAATTACCATTTACTACACTCGCATGCAAATACGATCCGGTATTGTAAACGTTATTATTATTTATTTATTTATCATTACTCTATTGTAATATTTTCTTTTTTATTAACAGCTGTAATCCGATATCGCACGCTATGTATGAAGAAAGGAAGGGCAGGGGGATAGGAGACCATTCGGAATCGGATAATCAGACACGCGATTCGAACCTTGAATCTATCGACGCGGTTAGGTACCTGTATACGTCTGTCTACTTACATTATAATATTTTATTCATATCGTCCTACCCAAAACATACGACATAAAAACCTAGAAATTTAGCATAATATCGATTTCGAAGATTTTTATTAATAACGATTCAAATGAAGGCGATTGTCTAGTATGGTACGTGCTTGAGAAACACATCAACAACATATTATTACACGGTTTTTATAATATTTGATCAATGTACTAAACGTGTTGTGAACAGTGATGATTAGATCTCAATATTGGCAGTACTCATAATATGTTGTTCGCGTTTAGACCTTAACATGAAAAATATCCTGTATCGGTTAATACGACTTTTTAAGTACTGAAATTGAAAAATATACCACTGCCTGATCTGTTTTTGTACATAGTACCAAAGGTAAACATTGTTAAAATGCTTCTTTTTGGATGTCTTTTTATAAATTGCATTTACAGTGACAATATGTGTTAATAATTTAAATACGTTTAACCTGCAAATTCACAATAACACAATTGGTAATTATAACCTGTCTGTAACATGTCGGTATTATTATCATAATAAAATGTACAGTGCCATGTAAAAACTAAAAACGTCAATGCGTGTCTAGAACGGAGCCAAAAACAGAAATGTTTAATTCTAAAAGTATTGTGTTTACTCTTCACACTAGTAACGGCAGCTAGTAAATACAAATTATAAATACACTTAGTCTAAAAAAAAACACATATAATTTCGGATGTTTTTGTGGTAGACTGTGTATATCTTTGGCCCGGTGTATACAATTGAAATAATAGCCGTTTTGTGGAAAAAAGACTACACATGTCATTGTCAAACCAATACCTTCTACAAGTACAGTAGTTACTAGAGTTAAAAAAAAATAATAAATAGAAAATTAAGAATTCATCAAAGTTTTCTGCAAACATTATGAACTTGCTTTTTGTCGGTTTAAAATAAAACCTATAAAATGCAATTATGATTGCATAAATTGTGTAAAGAATGTGATTACAAAATTGATCATTTTTTTTCTATGCAACATGTAGGTAATACGACACCGTACCGTTGAAGTGTTTGATTTTGTTTAGAAACAATTTAGAATTTAAGTATTATAGAACTTAATTCGGCAGTTTTTTTTTTATATTAATGTACATACAAGACATTAATTTTTTCATTATCGTTTTAATATCCTACCTTTATTCTATTCAGTGGCGCAAATAGAGGCGCATTTGGGGTTATTAGTTTTCCAGACAATTTTCGAGCCCCCTCCAGATACTGTTATTCGGTAGCAATAGTAAAATTACTCTACTCAAGAACTTTTTCTTCGTCTTCGCCTTACACTGCCGACTATATGGGGTCGGCCAGCTATCCTCGTATCACTCTGTATTCCGTCCGTCCATCTTTTCTTTGGTCTTGTATTTCCCTCTACATTCAAACACCTCTCACTGTCTCTGCCTCGTCTCTACTCGTAACACGACCGAACCATCTCAGACTATTCTACTCTGTTGGAGAACAATTTTGAAAAATCTCAAATGTCTACGTGAAATCTATTGTTGCTGTGTACTCACGTGAGTGCGATTTTTTTTTTGGTTTTTTCGGCGAAGTCTGGAGCGGGAAACGATGCGCGCGTGCGGTTGCCGGCAAACTGTCGACCGTTTGGCGTGCGACCGGCCAGACTACCCTAAGGGAACGACGGTGGCGCCGTCGGCTCATAACCGTGTGTGACAGGTTAGGTACGGTAACATCATAACGCGTTACGGGCGACATTCGGTGTGTGTTTTTCACGGTCGACACGTGCCCACGCAGTCGTGGAATCCATCGTGTACATAGATGTATATTATAACCCGCATAAAAACCCATTTCGCTTCCTCGACCCCTTGACGAAATAATGTCCAAACGTCTCACGCGATACATTGTGCAATACAAAAGTATTATTATTATTATTAATAATATGCCACGGTAAGCGGTGATAATCCGCTATGATCTAGTGTTACTATATTGTGGAAGACGAGAGATGAGCCTAAGCGAGAAGTAGGTAGCGAGTTCGTACATATGTATAGTAACGGCAAAGAGAATGAGCTTAGAAATTAATGAAGAGGAAACTTTGGAGAAAACACACTGTGATATTTCAATCCGCGAAAGCTTCAACACGAAAACACACTGTTTACGGTATCGCGAAGAGACCATGTTGTATTCGGGAAAACCCGAATATGCACTTAGAAATTAAAATATATATAACTTTGGAAGGGTTAACGCATTCAAATACCCGCGGGCTCTAGTATAATCAGTCCGGTTGTAATTAGTGGTGGGAATCCGAAAATCCGGATTTTTACAACAAAAACAAACGCTATTTTGGATACTTAAAAATCTTATAAATATTATTACGATATAAAGCTGTGCACTTAAGTAAAAGGTTTTGATGAAAACTAAAAAAAAAACGCTCAACTTTGACTATAAATTGCTTTCGGATTTTCAGATTTCAACAAATCCGACATCCAAAAGCAATTTATCGTTTTGGTGTTGTGTTTTTTTTTATTTTTACATTTCCTTCAAAAAAGTTTTACTTAGGTACACAACTTTATATTGTTAAAATATTTAATATTTCTACGATTTTTGAGTGATTTTTTTTTTTGTGAAAATACAGATTTTTCGGATTTCCAGTTTAGTTGTAATTTCGTAGTTGTGAGGCTTGGCAAAGCCTCACAACTTCGAGAAAAAGATTTTAAGAAGAATCTTTGGACCTATTTTCGATATAAATTCAGGTCAGAAAAAATAAAGTACTAGAGCAAATGTACCAGAAACCTATTGTTGTACAAGAAATGTACAAGAAACAACAAAAATGGGCAGGACACTTGTGGGGGAAAGAAGATTCATTGATAAAGTTAGTACAGACATTATTTAATCAATAAATTGTAAATCCTTTTCGATAAATATAGTGCTGGATCAACTGACGAAATGAAAGGACGATGAGGTAATTGATTTCTACAGCAAGTGTGGTTCAACAGATTATATTGATCAGCAACTGTATGGTAAATTCGCATTAGTGGATCAAACTAGTAATAAATTGCGTTTTATTATTAATAATATAACTTTCATGAACGGCAATATAAGAGAGACATAAAAGTAAAATGAAAAAATGCAAGCAGGGTCTCGGAGTAACCATGACATAAAAATAAATTTTACTCTTACTTGAGTAATGTGGTTTTCTAAAAAGTTTTTATTATTATAATATTAATATTACTTGAATGTTTTTATTTTTTACAGTCTTGCGTCTACCGGAGCAATATAATCTGCTGGTGAGCAAACAATTTGTTTATTTGTCCCATAATTTTTTTGTTTTTTTTTTCTTATAAGATAAAATTATTTAAAAAAAAAAAATGTATGTACATACATTTTTTTTATTATTATTTATTTTTTAACAAGTGTATACACTTATTATTTAGATTTTATAAGTTTTGAAACTCAAATAAATGTAACTTAACGTGCGTCAAATGGTCAATTGCTTGCCTGCAAACATTTTGAAGAATATACATTTCTACATACGTATACCTAGTAATTTTTTTGATCAAACGCCTTTGGAATAAATTTTTAAAAATGCCAATTTCGTGAACGGTATTAGGGAAAAGCTGGAAAAATCGGTAAAGAATTCGTTGATACGTATTAAGCGTAATACGATCTTGGAGAAATCCGAGATGCACTTAAGTAAAAAGGGGTGGGTAGGGTATGACGTTGAATACCCCATATACATTGTGGCCAGATACAACGTACATTTTACCTTAACATCAAGGCGTCAAGTGTGTTTTATTGCGAATATTACAAATTCCAAAAAATGAATTTTTAATCAGCGTTGTAGCGACAGGGGCACGTGCGCCCTCTTCCAAAAATTATTTTACTAATAAAAAATTATTAATATAATATATTTTTTAAGGAAAGAATGGCCAAACAATAAAGCTATAGTGAGCAAGGTAATTAATAATATTGCCTTTTTGATTGTCTGCATTCACAAGGATCTTACACAGTTTTCTCTCGGTTAGTCGGCTTTTTCATGTTATCTATCCGCATACAATTCTATGGGATTTAACCTTTTTCTTGACTCGTGTATAAGGTTTTGTGTGGTACAGACTCATAGTCATAGATATTATCATAATGTGCTTTATGCACTGTGCACATTGTGAAAAGGATGTTCATCGTCTGTTACACTGTATTATATATTTTGTATTTGTTCACGTGTAACATGATATTTTGAATATTAAATATGATTTCGTATCCATACCATAGCAGAACATATTAAAATAGAAACAAAATTCATAAAACCAGATAAAAAAAATAAATTCTAGTATTTAAAGATTGCAGTCGTTTAACTTATAGTGGTGCACCTCGTGATTGCACCACTCCCAATAACAATTGTTTAAGTGATACTTAATTACTAGTTTTAAATAAAGCAATTTCAGTTCAAGTGTTACATTTATTGTGATCAAATCATAATATTATAAACAAACATTATAAACAAGATAAATACATCAAAATTAGAACATAAGGCGCGTTTACACGACGGCAGTAAATGGTCATGACAGTATTATCGCGACAGTGCGACAGTACTATCTAGCTTGGCTAGATAGTGGACGGTACTGTCCGTAGCTACTGTCGAATAATTTACCAGACGATGGTTTCTGTCATGACATAACAATCACCATTTACCGTCGTCGTGTGAACGCGTCTTATATACAAATAGAACCCGAAAGGGGTATAAACAAGGTACATAACATCATTTACAGAACAATATAAACAAAATAGTACATGAAATAGAACATAAGGCGCGTTTACACAACGGCAGTAAATGGTCATGACAGTATTATCGCGACAGTGCGACAGTACGACAGTACTATCTAGCTTGGCTAGATAGTGGACGGTACTGTCCGTAGCTACTGTCGAATAATTTACCAGACGATGGTTTCTGTCATGACATAACAATCACCATTTACCGTCGTCGTGTGAACGCGCCTTACATACAAATAGAACCCGAAAGGGATATAAACAAGGTACATAACATCATTTACAGAACAATATAAACAAAATAGTACATGAAATAGAACATAAGGCGCGTTTACACAACGGCAGTAAATGGTCATGACAGTATTATCGCGACAGTGCGACAGTACGACAGTACTATCTAGCTTGGCTAGATAGTGGACGGTACTGTCCGTAGCTACTGTCGAATAATTTACCAGACGATGGTTTCTGTCATGACATAACAATCACCATTTACCGTCGTCGTGTGAACGCGCCTTACATACAAATAGAACCCGAAAGGGATATAAACAAGGTACATAACATCATTTACAGAACAATATAAACAAAATAGTACATGAAATAGAACATAAGGCGCGTTTACACAACGGCAGTAAATGGTCATGACAGTATTATCGCGATAGTGCGACAGTATGACAGTACTATCTAGCTTGGCTAGATAGTGGACGGTACTGTCCGTAGCTACTATCGGATAATTTACCAGGCGATGGTTCCTGTCATGACATTAACTATCACCACTTACCATCGTCCTGTGAACGCGCCTTATATACAAGTTACATAGCACAACATTTAAATATCAAAACAAGAAAAATATTAATAATAAGTAAGCAAAACATAGTGATGATCAATAACAAATTGTACATGCTTGTACAGAGAAATCTATTGGCGTCGGGTTTGTGCAGCTGTTATGAAGTTGATATTATAGGTAAGCTGTGGTACAAGAAAAATAGGTTAGAACACAAATAAACACATGGCTAACAAACGCGGTGTCTTACGGTAACGACTTTTTTGCGGCCGTGCGTCCCTCTGCCGTTGATACTCAGCGGCGATATCCAACACTCTCTCGTACGACGGAGGCGGCATAGGTTTGCGCTTCTCTTTTATTTTCTCCATGATGGCTCGTATAACGTCATCTTCTTTTTCCTTCCTCATCCGTCTCACCAGAGAAACAATCTGACCAAAAGTTTTGGACGCTTCAGTACGCTAGAAATGTACAAAATTAATTAACGACAAAATATAATAATTTATCAACCTTTAAGCCATAGGTTTGGGGAATTGGATCAATTACCTTGGCCCTTTTAGCGGCTTTGCGACGGCGGCGTTTGGCGGGAGCGACTAATTTTTTTTTTCTAGTCGAAGTTTTTTCACGGCGATCGGTACCGTGCTCAATAATTTCGGCACCGTATTCAGAAGTTGTTTCTAAAACCGTAGGAAAAAACATATTTAAAAATAACCCATCTCCCCGAGACCCTCAAAACGTGGCTGTCTACTTCACCTGCAACCGGCTCATCGGACGCGCAATCGCCGTCCTCTGCAACCGACTCACTAGACGTCTCTTCGCCGTCCTCTACATCCGGCTCATAGGACGCGTCTTCGGCGTCCTCTGCAACCGACTCATCGGACGTCTCTTCGCCGTCCTCTACATCCGGCTCATAGGACGCGTCATCTCCGTCCTCTGCAACCGACTCATCGGACGTCTCTTCGCCGTCCTCTACATCCGGCTCATAGGACGCGTCATCGCCGTCCTCTACATCCGGCTCATCGGACGCGCACTCGCCGTCCTCTGCAACCGACTCATCGGACGCGTCATCGCCGTCCTCAACAACCGGTTCATCGGACGCGCCATCGCCGTCCTCTGCAACCGGTTCACTAGACGCCTCTTCGCCGTCCTCTACATCCGGCTCATTGGATGACATCTCTTCGTCATCCTCTGCAACCGGTTCACTAGACGCCTGTTCGCCGTCCTCTACAACCGGTTCACTAGACGCCTGTTCGCCGTTACCAGCACTCCACGCGGATTGACTCGTCGACGGCTTTGTGTAAAAACAAAAATGTATTTAACAACGAATAGTATTGTGATTTGTTTGTTTAAATATAGACGGTTACTCGGTTCACGATTTCTTCCCTGATTTCCTCTCCGTTCTCACCCCTTCTACACCTGTATATCTTCAACCGTTTCGGCGGACATCCATCATAAGTGGCCGTAGCATAAGGCCATTCGGATCTCTAGAGATGTGCAAAATGAAACATAAGCAAGCTAGTGATTAATCCACATTAAGACACCGAGCCGGGATTAGATTCAATTACGTCAAGCAGATCAGGGTCATATCCAGACCCACGGCGGCGTTTTGTACGGAACTTGTATGATGTGGTCGAAGTTTCGCCGACAATGGTTATTTGCTGATTGCCATATTCCCAATCATCATCAGAAGAACTTTGCTCGTAATGGTCCATTGTTGTATTAATTATTTATACAAGTTCAAGACAAATTAGTAAAGTTCAATATAGTTTATGCGTATGAAACGAAAAATAATAATTATTCGAACTAGTTGGTTACGAAATAAACAATGTGATGACCGATGTCTATGACAACAAACATTTTTTACCCAATTGTGTTTAAGACAGTTTTATATCGACGGAATCCCATATATATTGTGGCCAGGTACTACGTACATTTTACATTAACATCAATGCATTAAGTGTGTTTTATTGCGAATATAACAAATTTCACAGTATGTATTTTTAATCAGTGTTGTAGCGACAGAGACACGTGCGCCGTCTTCCAAAAATTATTTTACTAATAAAAAATTATTAATATAATATATTTCTTAAGGAAAGAATGACCAGTCAATAGAGCTATAGTGAACAAGGTAATTAATAATATTAGGTGTCTCACAAATACATTTTTGGCTATGGCTGTCGTTTATAATTATATGTTTTACTGTCAACTCTTTGACTATAATACCTCTCTGTGTGCCTTTTTGATTGTCTGCATTCAGTGGATCTCACACAGTTTTCGCATACAATTCTATGCGGTATAAACTTTTTCTTGACTTGAGCATAAGGTTTTGTACAGACTCATAGTTATAGATATTAACATAATGTTGTTTATGCACTGTACGCATTGTGAAAAGGATGTTCATCGTCTGTTACTGTAATAACTCACGTTTTTGAAACTCTATAAGTTCAATGATCACAACTTACTTGGACTGTGACATATATTATAATTTGATAATAATAAAAGTATTAGCGTGAACCCATTTACTATAGACACAGCTCACCCGCATCAGTACACCGTCTACCGGAAGGCACAATATTATGTGTGTAGTACATGTGTTTTGTTATTATCGGAACGCTGTTGTTTTCTTAATTATTTGTTTTTACATTTTTCTATAAGTTACAACCACAACTCAAACCAGTGACGGCTGTATGAAAATGTTCAAGGAGTGCTGAACCGTTGTAATACATCAACGCAATACTATATCCGGATATATCCGAAAATCATTCTTGTCATATTTCAATCCGCGAAAGTTTCAACACATTCATAAAAAAATATATTAATCTAATTTAATTTATGGTTACATTTTAATTAAATTAATATCATATATATATATGTATATAAAATGGCCAAAAATTCCCATAGGCACTACGTTGAATTACAATATGTCTTATACCTACTTAATACGTGTCTTATAATTTTTTTCACATCAAAGATAAATTCATTTTATTTATTTATTTTTTTTTTTATTAATAATACCAATAAATACGACTCTTAGTCAAACCCAGCTGTAATTAATATAATTTGTAAAATACCTAAACCGTTGCGTACCTATCTGTTCGAGTTAAAAATTACACTATAAGCGCCTAAAATTATTCTCTCAACAATGAAAACTTTTAAGATGTAGGTACACAATAACCATTCTTTATCGTTACATTTTACTTGTGGTTAAACAGTACAAAAAGTGACGTCGTTAATCGTGAAGCCGTATGTTTTATTAAAATTAATTTGGATTTTAAACTCTTGTGTACACGCACATATGTTAATAATGAATACAAATTAATCGAAACTGCTTCGATACCATTTTGCATAGGTAAACAATAAGAACCCCTTAAAACAAATCATGGTTTTTTTATTTACCTAACAAAATATAACATTGCTGCTTAATTAAAATGCTAAAATATTATTATCGAGATTAAAACTACTAAAAAATGTAGTTTCTTCAAAAAAATAATCATGTTGGAAGGTAGGGGTTTTTGTATTCTGCGTGTAATACCTTAGAGTACATTTTGATGCAACATAAAATAATAATATAAGTCTTCTGGGGGTTCAGAAGCTTAAGGGTTTGGTTCACCTTGTTCCTTTACTCCACCACGCCTATAATAATATTCACAAAATAAAAAAAAAGCAATGAATTGAAAAAAAAACATACCTAAGCCGAAGTTGGGGTAAGGTATATTATATAATTTTATTATATATAGCTTTATATAATTATATGTTTTTTTGTATAATAAATACTTATTTACTCTTTAAAAAGAAAACATTGATAGGGTTTTTTAGTCGCTGGAAAGGAAAATTATTTTATTATTATTATAAGACCTTTAAGTAAGTAAGACCCGTAAGAAACTGCACTATCTCAAAATATTGCAGGACAATCATCCAAAACTAAGTAACAACAATGAACAACGTAAATATTATTTATAAAAATAAACTATAATTTATTACATATATATGTTTTTAACAGTCCATTTTTCAGTGTTTGTGTTTTTTTTTTTCATATTTAGATAATTATTTATATTTAATAATCTATATCAATCCTGAGTATTATAATTAGTTAGTATGTACTCACGTATTGACAGGTAAACTGTGTCTTAGGTTAATAAAGTTATTTAAATATATTAAATATCTTTTGATAATTATGTTTTATATTATATTACCACAAATATGATTTGATTGACTATTTCTGCAAAAAAATAATGGCTGTTATTTACAAACGAAGATACTTTAGATTGTCTTTCGACTTTAATTATCCAATATATTTATTACACACTCCATTGGAGAAAACACTAAAATATAATCATTATTATAACCAGTCGACTGGATAACCATTATTAAAATTAATTTTTTTTTTGAGATACGTCATTTGCTAACTAGGCTGACGATATGTATACATTATGTATTGATAGTTTTAAAATACAATCATTTAGTTTGCACTTTGCCGAGTATTATTCGGTCTTCGCGCGTTTTGATTTTGAATGTAATTGACTTCCCGCCATTAAATATAACCTTACAATCGTTCATATAACCTACAGCGCTCAACGCCAATGTGGTGAATCCCGTAAACCTTTCTACCTTATTAAACGGGCAACTGATAACGGTGGAGTTAATTCGCCTTATCTTAGCTTCTGAGGCAATGTTATTTTTCTTGTTGTTAGTTATGACATTAATAATATTATTATGAAGACCTACGAATTATATACATTTTATTATTTAACACATTTATAATATTGTACTATACTTTCATTTATATTCAATTTTCTTTTTAAGAGTAAAAAATAATAGAGACCGCATATAGGTATAAAGTAATTTTTTTTTTTATAAGTCAATAAAAACTCGTCACAATGGATTCCATTCCTAAGGACATGAGACAGGCTAGGGCTTGCCTAGTTTGCTCATTGATTAAGGTAAGTGAAAATTACTAATTATCTAGGTAGCATATTGTTTAATAAAACCTTAGAAACCAATTACAATGATGATTATTGTCCACGGGAAATGGAAAAAAACGTCCGTTCTTAGTGGCATTTAGTTGATTATTAGCATAATATTTCCATTAGTATTATTGTTTTATTTATTTATAACCGTGTTCAAAGTAATATTCATTGACAAAGTAGCTATATTTTTTTAATTAGTGGAGTTAGCGAATTTCTGATTTGAGGTTTTAAATCGGCGTAAAAACACTAAACTCACCATTACAAAAAAGGGTATCCAATAAAAGAAAATTTGTTCCCTATCAGTTAAAATATTATAAGAATGTTAAAGTTATATGCCTATACACGGTTAGGTTAGTAATTCTGCACTGAATTTATATGTTTTGCGAGTAATTACATTTCACCTTGCAGTTTTTACCTATAATAAGTATAGTCATACCGATAAGATGTTTGATTGTAGAGATAGGGCATGTGTGTGTCTCTCTTTTTTTTTTCCTTAAGTGAGTGTACACATAAGTATTATTGATAGTCAGGTATCGACACGATACCTGACCATCAATAACTTTTACAGTATGTAAACACTTTATTTATTTTACCTGATTTGTAAAATGTATTCACTTAAGATATAGTATATATGTATCGTACTATAAAATATTTTATTATGTATTTTAAACATAACATTCTGTTTATTGTAGTCATTTGATCAATTCGAGTTTGACGGCTGTGACAACTGTGATGAATTTCTCCGAATGAAAAATAACCGGGATCATGTTTATGACTGTACGAGTTCAAACTTTGACGGGTAAGGATATCTATAAACCAGATATCATAATAAAGATTTGTATATGTTTTTTTTTTTTTTTTTTGACAGAATGGTTGCATTAATGAGTCCAGACGATAGTTGGGTAGCTAGATGGCAAAAAATTAGTAAGTACCAATTTAAAATAACATAAAGTTTGTATAAAATTATCAAAATTCATTAAAGCCCGGCTTACACTTATCTGAGTAACCATGTTCGAAGCACTCAAATTTGTGGCATGGATATAATTCGGATAATATAAACAGTCTCTACGTACGTGCAGAGTACTCATACGAGTCAAGTCATCTAACATGTATTAAAATTCACGTGAGTGAGAATTTATGTAGGCGATACTTGTATAGAGTAAACACTTTCGTCTGTGTCCGTTAATGAGGTGCACGGATACGAGAACTACGAACGTGGTAACTTTGATAGGTGTAAACCAGACTTCAAGTAACTTAAATTATTATTGTTATAAAATTACAGATAGATTTACAAAAGGAATTTATGCTATATCTGTAGCGGGACGTCTGCCGCCGAATTTCATCAGAGAAATGAAAGCTAGAGGAATTCCTTATCGTCAAAGAGATACAGCGTTTAAATAAGTGCTTTATTTTATTTACATACAACAACATTATATCATGATATATTATAATGTAAATGTAAAAAAAAATTCTCATGGTTTTTTTTTCATCACACTTGAGCAAGACAATTTTGTACATTTCGATGACTATTTTTATGATAATAATATGATACATTTTTTCCCCTTTTTTTTTGTATTGTAATTTACACGAGTGTATTAATAATATAACTTAATAATGTATAAATAAATCTACAAAGAACATTAGTAATAACAATAATTTTTTATGTCTTTATTTTAGTAATAGTATGGTCGTTCTTTAGTTGATGGTATAAAAGACATAGTCCTCCTCACTTTTACTTGTGGTTTTACGTTTAATCCATCGGCCTGAAAACAAAAATATATTATTTTAATGTGATGCTTAATTTCAAGTTACAAATACCTAAACAAAGACATGTTGCTATATATATATTATAAATCGTGTTTATTGTTATAACTAATATAGATACACAAAATTCAAAATACGTAATATGTAACTGCAGAATATCTTATGTAGATTTTAGGATTAGGTATGGAAGTTAAACTGAAATTGATTATAATAATAATATATTAAATACATTACCGATTGTACATCGGTTAACGACGCTACGGCTTTTTCAGAAACGCTGATCTTCTTTTGAGCTCTACTCAACTCGTCATCGAGTCGTTGTTTTTCCGCTTCTAACTCGATCAGTCTCTGTTGCGCTTCTACAATAAAGATTATGGTAAATAATTTCATTGATAAAAAGATTATTTTAAACGTAACACTGTACCGAGCAATTGGTTTTCTTTTTCTTTTTGTTTCATTTCGAATTCTTTTCTTTTTTCCCGTTCTTGTTCTAACAATAATTTCTGTTCTTCCTGTAGTCTCTCTAGTTCTTCTCTTTTTTCCCATTCTTCTCTTAAAACTCTATAGTAGAAAATGCACTTGAGATCACCATTTCAATATTATATTATTGCAAAAACATGAGTTCGGGATAACTCTGGATTTTTGGAATAACAGAAAATCCCAAACCCGAATGATTTAAAATATAATTTTCACATTAAAAAATCTGCATTAATTGTCAATATAATATATATTTCTACGAATTTAGATTTTGTGATTTAAAAAAAATCCTGCAAATTGAATTTCGTCCAACTGATTATTATGATTTATACAAAATATTAACACTTTACCTGGCTTGCAAATTTCGAACGATTTCTTCATCGCGCTTTGCTTTTGTTTCTTCTTCCAGTAGACATTCTAATTCTTCCACGTGTTTTTCACTGGCCACTTTCAACTCTTTGGCTTGGATTTCCACCGCTGCTCTAGCCTACGAAATTGAAGAGAAAAAAAAGTGTCAAACTATTTTATAGAACAGTTATTTGTGTGGCTTGTGTGATCAACATCTTTACACGCACTAGTTTCTCTGCTTGCAGCTGAGCATCCATATCGTGAATAATACTACTTCTTCTGTGTTTCTCTTGCAGTTCTGCTTTTCTTTGCTTTTGTCTCCTGTGCAGCAACGTGCGCTGGTAACCTTCCGTGCCGGCCGAATAAGAAATAGCCAACTTGAACGCGGACAGCCATTGCAGTCTGCTTCTATTTATTAAGAATATATTTTTCAGTAGGTCAATACAATAAAATAATAGTTCGTATAATGTCTCAATAATGTAAGAAAATTAAGTGTGTGGTGTAACATAATTTTAGTTCAGTTTGACTAAAGAGTATATGAAGAGTCAGAAAGGTGTAATTTAGAGTCAAAAGACAATTTTGATCAGCAATGATGTGTGGAAAGGAGTGTTAGGTTAGGCACTGTATTAGATAAATTAATGAAAAATGGATGTGGCTAAAATGAACATGCTGAGAGACAAATTGAGACGGTTTAAGCATATTGAAAGACTCGAGGAACGTGAAATAGTGAAACAAATAAGAGCCATCGTGGTGGAGACAAACGTAGATCGAGGAAGAAGTAGGCGGATGTGATACATAAAGACATAAGGAGCCAGGAGGCGTGTGAAGTGAATAAGGATTGTAGTTTTAGTTTTACCTGTGATCCTTGGTGGCCAGTTCGAATGTCCTTTCAGTCGTGTGCAACATGATGCGCTGGAGATTGGAATCCACCCAACACCTGGGATCCAACATTATGGACCCGCACTGTTCTTTTTCTTCTTGGTTTTTGTAGTAGAGCAATTGGCAAGGCTTCAGCACGAACCAGTATTCTCGCAATGTCGGCAACAAGTATCCCCGTTTCAATAGCACCCCCTGAAACAACCGCACACCGGTGGTGGAATCAATGCTGCCATTCAATCTCTCTACTCTCTCACAACAATATACGGCCCAACCTTTTTGATGATGTCGTCGATGAACATGTTGGTAACCGCATTCAAAGCTTCGACCAAACCGGCTCTGTCGACGTCGGCCAAGTATCGTTTCTCCAGTACCGTAAGGAACGTGCCGAACTGAAATCCGCTGGCGTTGCCGACGAGTTCTTCGAACCCGGATTGGTCCCAGTCGGTTCCCAGAGAGGTAACGATTTGCGACGCCACTAGACCCACCTCGGACGTGTCCATTATTACCTGTGAAAAAACAAAACAATATTGAGAAGAAGTAAGTTCGATTTTATGTCTCGAGAGCCGAACAAATATTTTCGAAATTATTATTGTTTATACTTGAAACCGATTGGGCTTCTCCGGGTCGGTTATCAGCTCGGATAAAAAGCAAAACACTCTGAACAGTTTGTACATGCAGTCTTCTGGCAACATTTGACATTTTTCCACGTAATCTTTCTTGCATATTAACCAGCACGTCTCGTCTATCTTGGACTCGAATTCATGTAGTACGGACAACGACAACGTGTTTGGCAGAGGTAAGAAAACCTGAAAATCACGAGAAAAAACGCATTGAAATGGCCACTAATTATTGCACGAGCACAAACCTCTTTCAGTAAATAGTACTTGAAATGCTGAAAGTTCAACGTCGGCGTGCTTCTATAATGTTCAAGACCTTTTTCTACGCCATACAGATCGAGGAGGATTCCAATGTTTGCAGTTAAAACCTAAATCATCGACGTATTAATCATCTAATAGTAAATATCGCGACTCTGAATCTCGGGGTATCCTGAGAAGACAAAGCTGATTGACAAATGAGCCCTAAGAAGTTCTTATTTTACTTTTAACTGTCCATAGGCGGAAATCCAGTAACCTCGAATACTATCCTAACCCAACGGAGTAATGCAACATAGTATTCTAGTAGGTATGTCGATGGTTTAAAGAAAACTCTGTTTAAAGATTCAAACGTGCATTTGCTTTGACCTCCAGTTTTGCTATTATATATTATGGTATAATTGCACAAAGTTCGTCGGGATAACAATACTAAATATTCGAGTAGTGCATTAAATTCACTCGGTCTTAGTGGGTCCCTTCATAAAATATGCACTTACCGCAGCTGTCATGGAGCTATGTATACTGCACTACCTACTAAATAAATAAATTAGATGCTAGAGTTAGAAAACAATACTCTATATTATACTCTCGAATAAGGGCCACACTATTTTTAATATTATTGACGTAGGATTCTGTATTTTGATATGATAACAATTTTAATTATAATACAGGATAGTCAATTCAGTCGCGGCTCAATCCCAAAGGAATAAAGATAACATGATTTGTCCCATATTCACTGGATTATTTGATTTTAAAATTAATGTTTTATAATCATTTTTCGTACTGTAAATTATTTCAAAGTGTTATCCGAGTCCGACATCCTACCTATTTACATTATAGTGGGTTCTGATAAAATAACGTTGTGCTAGCTTGATTCAAGTAGATTAAATGTATGATTCATTATTGTGTTACTTTACCGGACACAGCAAAAAAAAAACCTTGATGATTTCACCGTAACGCGAGCCTCTGTGAACTTGTAATTTATAATTATTTATATTTTTATACAAATACATTCTTTGGTCGACTATCGCGTGAGACTGTTTTAATAGATATTAAATACAATGAGTATGTGATGAATCACTTCAAACATTTTTTACTTGAATATTTTTACTTTCTTAATACCAGTAAATTATAGTTTCCGATCTAAGCCGGCTGCAAGACATGTGAACGACCTTACATTTTTCTTTCTGTCCAATCGCCATTATAGCTTTAATGAGAGGCTTAGAAGGTATATTTTTTGTTTGAATTTAATCATACACCGCATAGTTTTGAAATATTAGGTAATAGAAAAGAATTGTAAAAATGTATGTTATTAACTGATAAGTGTTACTACAAGAAGGACTTGGAGACAACATAAAAACCTTTTAATTTTCAATTTATCTCCATGAGCCGATGTTTTAAAAATTAAATTTAAATTTTGCCTTTCTTTTTACAGTTGAAAGCAAATATGCCAAACATATAATATGTTATGAGTCACCAATTCCACACAACTGTTAGTCATTTAATACGATCTGTTGGTTTACTCATAAATCATCTTATTTTATATAAGATGTGTTAGGAAGTTTTAATGAGTGTTTACTGTTGACGCAATAATACCCAATTTCTCTATAGTACTTTTCCCACATAACAATATAGTATATCATTGAAAATATAATACATTCCAATAGCTGGCGTAATAAGTACTAACATAAAAAAACATCATCTTTAATTTTAATGCAACTTGACATTAATTTCTTTTTTTTGGCATTTCAGTGTTTATAACAAACATCAAAGTTTTAAAGAAAAAAAACAATTCTTACTTTGTAACGTTAAACTTAATTTAGACCCTTCTTATTGTAGCTTATGCGCCTTGTATGATTATTTGAAGACTACCCTATATAAATATATTAACTATATTTTAATAAAAACTGTGCTAACTGATAGCATTTAGCACTTGTTTGCAGATAACATTACAGCTGAGTAAGCTGACTACCTATTCAGTTTTAATCTAATATTCGACATTTAATCAGCATGTAAACAACACGGGCCTACATACCTTATTAATTCCTAAATTATTTACATAAAGTATACCTACGCAGTACGCACAATGCTATTTCAATTACCATTCTCTGTTGGCTACCGACAATAACCAAGAGAAGGTAATAAATAAAAGACAATATTATTATGAATTTATTATTATTTTCCAAGTTGACTGTTATGTAAAGGAGGAAGAAAAAAATTAATAAACATTTATTTTTTAAAAACGATTAGTAGGTATATTTTAAAATATACACACTTGTACGCTCGTGTGAAATAAAAAATGCAAAAAAATTATTATTATTTTTTGATTTGTTGTACTACAATGGTAGTTGTATTTTTAACCGGGTTTTCAGTAAGTAAACACTTTTTTTAATGACTTTGTATAAACAAGTGTTGTTATAACGTCTATTTATAAAAATTGTATTTATTAAGTACACAAGAAATGAAAATGTATATAAACCGCATTTCGTATATTATATTCTGTCCAGATTTTGGTTGCTTATAGCACAGTAGTTAAACGTAAGATAACTATAGTAGTATTTATAAAATTCAATATGATTATATTATGTATTAATGTAAAGGTGATACTTTATAAGATGCTCTTCATAGGCTAAGCTGCCTGGGGACCAAGTGATATAGATATTTTAACTTCACAATATCTACATATAGAATCGTATATGATTGTAAATCGTTGAATTTAAAAAAAAAATTAACAGGACATTAATTTTCCAAAACCTTGACGATTTTGCATGAATAATCCTTTATTTAGGTTAGTTGTAAAAACGTATAGTCCTTAGTAGTATCATTATTATTCATAGTAATATTATTCTAATTATTACTTATTATTTTCACGATGACCCTTTGGGTTTAGAAGAATGTTAATACAAAACAAATGCTCCTATAAAATAGAATCCAAAATACAATAATCCAATAATAAATTGCTAAACATTTAATTTTATAAAGAATGATTTTGGGAAATTTTTTTACTATAAAAATATTTATTGTTGTACTGAGATACTTTGAAAGGAAATATCAGCCGGACAGGGGATGAAGAGCAAATGAGGAAAAGTGGATTGAAGAGGAGAACTACCCCATTCGTTTCAGGACGGTTCAAATTTAACCCCCCCCCCCTTGCCCAAAGATCTATTAATTGCTACACTATACGCGAGAGTAACCTATTAGTTGATATAAATCCGAAATTGTGGATTTTTACAAAAAAAAAAAGTTATATTTAAGGCACTTAAAAACTTGTAAGTAACCGTCATGCGAATTCTAACAGCACTTAATTCAGTTTTTGCCGAAAAAGGCATACAAAAACACTAAAAAAAAAAAATCATTCGACTTGAAGCTTACTTTGAGTTTCGACTTGACAACGGTTCCGGTGTTGTCCGTGTCCAACGAGTTGAACGCTTGCCATAAGCAATTGGTCACGTTCTTCAACAGCGTCGCCATCGTCAGATCATAATAATATATATTATCGAAAAACAACGACAGTATACAACTATTATTATTATTTAACGGTTACACAGCGTGTTCTACTCGTCGGCGGCGAACGGGAGTAATTTAATTTAAAAAACAATAAAAAATCGGTATCGATCGTTCAGACAAATGTAATTTTTTTTTTTTATTATTAAAAAGTACAAATAAAAAAACTAAAAAAATTACCGTACCAACTTCAAACCAATATGGACATACAACAACAACAACAACAACAATAGTAGTATAGTATACAATATGTATTATTATCGTGTGTGTGTATACGGTAACAGCGTGTCGCGGTCGGCGCGCGGCGGCTAAAGTGACGAGTACGGGTCCCTCCCTAGTGCACAGCGCGGCGGTGGAGGCGATGGAAGGCCGCCGCTTCCTTGATCCGGTTCTCCGCCGTCGCCGGACGACCGCTCCCCGCGTCCACGGACTTGACCATATAAGAACTTTCAATGCCGGCGCGTCGGTGCGGCCCGACTGAACGCGTATGGCGTTATTATCATGTATTCGCCGATTGCTATTTTTTTTATTATTATTTTTTATATTAATATAATATACATTTTTCAATATTTTTAGTAAGTAAAATCCAATTTAGTTTTTAAAGGTTTTTTTTTTTGGCGTCGTCATGTATTATTATTATTATAAACATTATCGGGCTTACGCCGTGTACGCAATACGATTGTCATTCGCCGTTGCATTGTCATCGTCTACAGGGTGACTAATGCAATACTGTAGTATTTGAATCGATTATTTATCACAGAGGTTTAGTTAGAAGTCGTCTTGTCGATAGACGATAGCTGTTAATCATAGCGATAAGCATTCGAGTTTCAAAAATGTTAAACAACGACCGGTAGAGCCACATTCAGCCCCTTGAATAATAGGGTCATTTCCTACCCGCCCCCCCGATTTCGTAATTTCTTATGGTTATGAATAAAATAAAAAAAGGGATTTGAAAAAAACGTCTTATATAATATTATGTCGATCATGTCGGTGTGAATAATGAAATCACATTCAGATTTAATAGTTGCTTTGATCCAACTTCGCTAACATATTATTCTGTACTGATTCATACTTGAACATATTATGTTAAGTGTTTCTTATGTGTATACTGTATTGAGAAAAACGTTTTCAAATATAAAGGATGTATATATTTTTCTACGGCCAACGAATGCTTATTATTATTTGCCTTAAAAAAAAAATAGCAATTACAAATGAGCTAAAAATACTATACGCCGAGATTAATAGTATATTTATCCGCTTAAGGAAATAATAATATCTGAAGTAGTATCATTATACATAATTGTATTACCTGTATGTTGTTTACAAATAAACGACCAAGAACGACATATATGCAGATAGACAGCAAAAGTTGTACATAATAAAATAGTATAATAAACTTACCGTTACCAAATGAGTCATTTGATAAATGATAGATGTATTAATGTATTTAGTTAACGTTAAAAAAACATTTGTTACAATTTCTAAAAACTGCAATTGAAAGCAACTATACCTATTACCTAGGTGTCGAAGATAAAAAAGAAAAATGTATTTTTAGGTCTTGTTTTTTTGACTAATAAAACTTATTGTCGAAAATCGAACGCTTAAAATTCCACAAGTTGATCACAACATGATTCGGATTTTTGTGACTCAATGACACAGTGGTGAAATAAAAGTAAAACATGTTGGTTTAAATATCAATATTTTGCATGTGCTTCAAAACATGGACAAAGTTTATTTCCAAATAAGCTTTGAACTTAAATTAAGTTTTGTTTTTTGAGATTATTGATATTCTATTTAGGATATTGATGCAAGTTATTATTTTTCGCGCTCAAGGTCGCTATTCCTTATCTAAAATAGGAAAATTGAAGAAGGTCAAGACAATAAAACCAACGACAAAAACACTAAGGAATAACGATTTATTTGGTAACTAGGTTTTGTTATTATTTTTTTTTTTTACAATAATAATACTGTTATTATTATAATACTTTGTCGCGCGATATCGTTTTCAAAACCATCTCTATCTAATAACTGTATTATAATGGTGCAAAAATAAAAATTAACAAACAAACGGAAAAGTTATTGCATTTAAAAAAAAAATCTAAAACAAGTTTTAGCTCATAACTTCAAAAGTAAGTACCTCAGTTTACAAAGTTTGAATAAGTAAAATTGGTCATAACTCATAATTATAATCAATAAATCTCTCACTAAAATAAATGAAGTTCTAAAATTAAGGATTTGTGGACACTCTCTTAACATGTTTTTAAGTTTGTATATAACTAGAGGATGGGGGTTCTTTATAGCAAACCAAACAATTTTTCAGACTGTCAAATGAAGAGTTATGACGAAGGTGTTGACGTGTTTACTACAGAAAAACTAATTGTATGCCTAATAATGAAGTATCCGCATGACTAAAGCAGTTCCTAATAGGAACTTCCTATACCAAATTATATTCAATGAATAATCCATGTTGAATAATAGTAAGGTTCAAAAAGACGTCAAATGACGATGGTTCCAACTAAGTTGTTCGGAATGTGCTTGGTATTTTTTTTTAAAGTGATTTTATCATCCAGCCATTTTTTTTTGTGATTAGATGCACTGATTTTTGTTTTAAATTTCGAGCTCGGTCAACGCTTCAGTGTCTGAAATAATGCTAACTTTGTCCGTTTTTCTTTCCTCTAATCCTAATTATTTTGATCAGAATTATTGCTATTTTGACAAATTTCCTAAACACTATCGACATTTTAAATTTAACCGTATTTGCTTCGTATGATTGTCAATTGTTCAAGTATGTTACAGTAATTGAAGGGTACAGGGAAAAAACCAGCAGTCACTTTTTCTAATCTAAGAAAAAACACGTTTAAGTAATGCTAAAATATGTTTTAAAATGTTAAAGAAATACTTAAGACTTTGAAAAATATTGTTTATTTTTGTTTATAATCGTGCTTAAAAGTAAAGAACAGATTCGTTTTGTATCAAAACGAATTTTATAACAAAAAATTGCCATTTTTAAAAAGTGACTTTGCTGGTTATTTCCCTGTACCATTCAATTAAACTTTTTTAAAAATACCTTTTTTTTAAAATAATGTTGTTCATTAGAAAGGTATAAACTACTTTACAATAATTAATGTTTAAATATCAATATGTCCAAAGTATATGGATCATTACTCCTTAAGAATATGTAATGCTGGCCGCACAACATACACATTATTTATAATCGTGTATTGTATACACCATGGTTAAAATATACATGTTATTGCAAATCGTCTCGAATATTGTTATCTTCAGAATCGAAATGACAGCGCAAGGGCATATCAATTTTACTATTACTATATTACTGTGTACAGATATACTTGATTTTGGGTCCCGTTACGCTGACATATTTGTTTTTATCGTTGAATATTTGATGAAGAAGCCCGAGAAGGGATATATTATGTGCAATAACCTTGTATATTTCAATCATGGTATACACGTATAGTCAAAGTTTAAAATTATTTATTCAAAACTGGTTATCGGCCAGTCAACATTTTCAGCAAATAATTCTCAATTTAAAAAGTTCATAAAATATTTACGTCACCATTTAAGTTTCGAAAGTTGATAAAGCTCTAGAAAATACTGAAAAGATACAAATTTGAATATTGTCTCGTATATTAATATAGCATACATTAAAATGTTTTCGAAAATAATTACTACAAAATTGCAATTATTTTAACAGTAAAGTAATGTAGGGCGTTAAACGATCACTCGGTATATTTGCTTATGAGTACAAACAGCAAACAATTTTCGCCGTTGACACGATGTTCTTGTAGAAACCCATTGTTTTGATTTTGACTTAAGATCAAGATCAACTATAAGATTGACATCATTACCATTGACTAATCTCTACAGCCAATGGCAAGTATTAACTATTGTCCATTTCCACCACCTTAGTGTATCGATGGGGAGGACAAAACATTAAACTATGGCTCGATTTCCATTTCAAGTAATCTTCATTTCTAATATCCAAATACTTTACACAGGCGCTGCCACTGTATGAATTACCAGTAATTTCAAAAATAATCTGAACACAAATGTCGGGTAATAAAAATACCGAATTAACATTGAAAAAATCTAGTTTTAAATTTGGTTACATATATTTGACCTAACTGAAGTATTCTTCCTAATGTTTAACTGTAATGTGTAATAACATACTATCTATGAATTCAGTAATTAGGTAGTTAATTTATTTTTCTGACTATATTCGTAAAAATGAATGTGTACGTCTTATTATAGCGTATTTTATTATAAAAAACGTGGCAATTTTTTTTAATGAATTTAAAATCAATGAATACGAATTAAAATGTATAAATGAAGAGTGAAAGTGTCAAACGTTCCAAGTGCCAAAATATAAAAATTGTACTTTATAATTTGATTTGTATTTTATTCATTACCGGAAACAATTTTGTAAATTTTTCAAGTAAAGAATAGTTATTTATAAAAAAAGCAATCATACTTAAAACTCAAAAATATGTTAAAGGGTTTCCGGTAATGAATAAAATACAAATCAAATTATAAAGTTCAATTTTTATATTTTGCCACTTGGAGCGTTTGACACTTTCACTTTTCAAATTAAGTTAGTTTATAAAACCGAAAGAAATTGAAGGTTAATGAATCTAGTCGTGTGCAATGAACAAAATGTGTATCGTGATTTATTCTATAAGAATATGCATAAAGTTGTAAAAACTGAATTATAAATTAAAAATATTTAAATAAACAAAAAAACATTGGTAAAACATTTACTGAAAATATATTTACAAAAATATTTGACCGAGTTTTTTAAAAATAAGTATTTTTGTTGAATAAAAGTACCGAACAACACGATTTTGAAACAATAATTTTTAATGCTTAGTTTAAGTAAGTACACTCTGCGGCCAGTTCTGAATTGGGCAAATAAAATAAAATGGAAAGCTCCATTTGAAATAAAATTATAGATAACTATTCAAACGCGTAGGTACAGGTTAACACGTTAAGAACATCACCCGAATTTTAACTGTATAATTAATTTTTACAACTTTAAAAGCGGTATAAAACATTGGCGATGTTATTTAATTGTCGTTCCAAAAGAAGGTCGAATTTTGTCGCACACCAGTGGTGTCGGGACTAAATTGTATCGGTAACGGTAAATTCGTAACAGTAAATTGGAAACCGAAATATCTAATTATTGTGCTCTAAATACTTAATGTAGTTTGTCGTCGTCGATGATACGGTGGTATTGGGTTGACGGCGAATGACCTTGAGGTCATGTCCATTGGGCGCCCAAAACGACTGATCAGCTGTTTATGCGGTGTGAAGTGTGGCGAATATTGGCCGTTCTCCGCCAGATGGCGCTCGCGCTCGGCCTGTGCTGTGCTGATAATAACCAAAAAAATATTATAATAATATCACGATCGTGTTATTCAGCAGCAGCTGCTGCAGTAGCGACTATCGAACGGCGGTGAATTGCGTTTCTCGATAATAATAATAAAAAAAACAAAACTGGTATAATTGCCAATTGTTGCGCAATTAAATATTAACGAAGAATTTTCTAGTGTGTTCGTGCGTCTGTTGTTGACACTATCGGTATCGTGTGTTTCCAGTGAACGTTCTCCGACGAAATACCTAACACATTTTCCATTGTCGTGCGACGCCGACGCAGCAAAAGCGACAAAACAAAAACAACATGTCGTTGAACACGGCACACGTCCAAGGCGGAGGCTGTTTGATTCACGCCGGAGAATGGTAAGTCGACAATTAATCGAATCGCACTGCACCAGGTACATCTGTCGCCTGGATGCTCGCACCGATATGAATAATTAATTACTGTACAACCGCCATAAGTGGATTAAAACGACAAAACGCGCACCAAACCTGCGATTCGATTTCTAGTGATTAGTTTTTTGTTTTTCCAAATTTCTATAGTTTATTTATGATTAGTCACATTTGCCTGGTGTTTCGGTCGTTTGCATAGATTGCTTCTATTAATCGTTCAATATTAAATGCGTTCAATCGTGTAAACGGTGTGCATTTCCAAACACGTCTAACAATGTCTACCATACCGATTCACGGTTTACTTCCTGCTAAGTTAAATACTTAGCAGAAACTTATGTTGTGAAAAGTTATCAGTTTTTGTGTTTTGCGATTGTTTTGACCAACATTTAAGTTTTAACGCCTAAGTACGGCATTTGTACGATTTAATTTTTTATATTGACACATCTAAAATGTATCCATACTCGATCATAAAATTTCACAACGCCATAATTTGAAAATATTCAATAATCAATTTTAGTTGATACTCAACGTCCGTTGTGTATTAGATGTTTGAGGAACGTCAAAAATGTTTTTAGAAGTGAAATATTTTAGACATTTTATTTTTTAACTGTACCTGTTTATTTCATTTTGTCAAAAACTTAGAATAATGTAAAAGTAACTAGGTACTTAGTTGTTACAAAACTAGTTATTTATGTATTTTAGAAAGTTCAACCGACTTGTTTAGGTTTAGAGTTATTAAATAATGTAATTAAATTTATGAAATGATTTTTAATGTTTTAAGACATTAACTATTAAAATTAGATGCGTATTTACATACATTTTTTAGTCTAACCTAACCTTACCTATTCATTTGACATGACACGGTTAACAAAATTATTTTTGCTCACAATAGTCTTATTTAAAACTTAATTCAGGGCCGAATTTACAATTTTCCATGATATTAGTTAATTATAAAGATGTTCAATTTAATATAAAAACAAAATCGGTTTAAAAAAAAAATAGATAGGATACAATTTGTAATTATTAGCGTTTAAAATTGAGATACAGCAATGGTGGTTTGTATTTGAATCGGTAATGCTAATGAGTATAATTTTTGTTTTCAGTATTATTTTATACACTGATGCGGTAACAATTGATTTTCATGGTCAAGACGGCCGAGCATTTCATGGTTCTAAAGTTGGCAAATTATATTTGACTACACACAGATTGATATTCATCAACAAGTCTGATAAAGATGAGTTGTTATCATTCAGCATGCCTTTCGTTACACTCAAAGATGTAAGTATCGTTTTGCATAGTTCATTCTTTTGGTTATTGCATTGAGTTGAATGTTAAATATATTTGTTGTAGGTGGAATTAGAACAACCTGTTTTCGGTTCAAATTACATTAAGGGTAAAGTACGTGCACAGCCTAACGGAAATTGGGTTGGTGAAGCGAAATTCAAGCTGATTTTCAAAAAAGGCGGCGCTATAGATTTTGGGCAAGCGATGCTTCGAGCAGCGTCAATGGGTATGTGTTCTTACTATTCTACACTTACAGTGGTCTAGTCACAGGGTGTACGATGTGTGTACTCATGTCTTACCGAAACTGTACACTCTTGGATAGAGTACACTGTTTTCGATTGACTACACTGCTGTGTGTTTATTGTGCATATATTTATTCAAATATTAATTTAATAATTATATAGCAAGCAGCAATGTGCCTCCGATGGATAATCCTCCCCCGTACGCCCCTCCTCAAGGTCCATACTATCAAGCCGATGTTCCATACGGAGTACCTCCACCAGGTTATTACGGATGGATGCCTTCTACTGCGGCTTTCCCAGATGCCCCACCACGTAATAACATATTAGTTATTAATTATTTTCATTAATATCAATTGTGTTTCTATAGCTATTAATGGTTTTCTTTTTGATTAGCACAATCCGTGTACAGAACCGATATGCCACCGCCCTATCCAGGTATAATTGGTTTCTCTAACAATCCAGGATATGCAAGTGCTCCACCGGCCCAAACAGCCCCACCGCCACAACAGTTCAACGGACAAGGTATTTACTTGTGATCTTATGAGTAAACCGCTCGAGTTATATTGTTGTGTTTTTTATCTAACAATATTAATCATGTTTCGCGTGTATGTATTTTAAAGTAACAGATACATAATATTTACAGATGCTAAAGCAGCAGAAGCAGCCCAAAGCGCATATTTCGATCCTAACAGACCTCAGATGGCTTATGTACCTCCACCATCTTACTATGTAAGTAGGAACTAGTACAAATCACTTAAGAGAGGAACTATAATTAATGGAACGGTGCAGTAGCTAGCTGGTTTTAATTTTCGTCAAACGCTGATGAATTATTATCTGGCAATAGAAAAAACACAGATTATCTATTAATTTTCATATTTTCCTTTTGTATTCATTGCAGAAGTTTGTTTGTAAGAAATTAAATTTTTAACAAAGTAGTTTTAAAGTTATGTGTGTTTTTTTTTAATAACTTAAACGTAATAAACTAAAATATTCCTGATAAATAAGAAAATGCTCAGGTCTGAGAGTAATCTCTAATCTCCTAAATAAGTTCTAATATGAAAATAATATTTTTTCAACACTGATTAATACATTTTCCACATTTTTAACCTATATAGCTGCATAAAGCCAGTAGGCTATATATATTTTATTATGTTATGTGCTTATAGTCATTGATAACATATTTAGTTATAGACTGTAGTGGTGTGTGGTTATAGATACAGATAGGTAATATCTATATAACGTTTAGTTTTGTAATAATGTTACATGTGTAACAATATTGAGGAACCATTTTCCTCAAATTCAAGCTTCTTAAAAATCTAATATTAAAATGTTTGTGTTTGAGTTTTAAGAAAAAAACGGATGAGACTATAAAAGACTTTTAAATTACAAGAAAGTATTCAATATTTATGTCTTGGATATTTTTAAATTATGTTATATATTTTATGAAAGTATAAATGTTATATTTTTTCAACTTGAATTTTTAATAATTGTTATTGCATGTAAAATATAATTTGTTGTGTGTTTACCGCTTTGTACTTATTATTAATACAATTTTGTTTTTATATTTCAGGAACTTCCTCCGCCGTACAAAGAAGCCGAAAACAAGAAAAATGATTAATCTTTCAAACAAACTCTAATATGGCTAAAACGCATTCCAAAGGTTTTACTGTGAAATTTTATTGTTTTTCTTATTAATATGTTATTATTGAAGTATTTCGAGTGTACTTTTTAAATATTGTGATTTCCTTGCATAATTTCAACAATGTGAACTTATATTAGTCAATATGGGAATAATTACCAACACATTTATCTATATATATATATAATATACATGTATGTATTTGATAATAAATTATATTTTAAATATAAATATATATTAATTTTATTTGTACTAATATTAATATTATATGAATATTTATATATTATTTTATTATATTACATTTATATTTATATATATATATATGATTTATTAAAACTATTACAACAAGAAATCGCTCATAACATCGTTTCGTGCAAGGTTGGTTACAAATGGAGAGACAGTACAATAAGATTGAAAAAAAAGTATTCTTTGACTGCTTTTAAGTATTCCTGTATTAAACATATGTTTTTTTTTTAGTCATTTAATGGTTTAGATATTAATAACATAACATTGTAGCCGGTAACGTCACCATTTTCTCATTCGTTCATAGTTATCTTTCACGTTTATTTCGTCGACTTGTTTCTTTATTGTGATAACAATAAACACCGATGAAATATTATTGTTATTTATTAGTATATTTTTTTACTTTTTAGAATTTAAACAGCTTATGATTTATTACGATAATTTTAAAATGTTGTCATGGCGTGTATGTATATAATATATTTATAGTATTTTTATATTATTATTATTAATTATATGGGTTATACATTTTTTTTTTTTTACAATTTAAAAAAATGTTTTGTTTATGAGCGATTTCTATTATTATATAATTATTATACAAATACTTGATTTAAATAATATACTATTTTTATACGCTTATTTAGTTACAAAATTCATCATCTACTTATAGGAAATATTATGTAAAAACTAATATATTATATTCTTCACAATAAAGTGTTATTATAATTATTATTATCATTATTTTTCGATTTTAATTTTTTCATCAGGAATTTAATAGAATAGTCACGATAATTCCAGAAAGAAAAAAATATATGCCAACTGCTACGTTTTACAGATGTTTGTGTTTATTGGACCGATCCAGAAATTCAGTAGCCGTCTAACGTCGTTAATGAGTTTGCTTTATCGGATTAAATAAACTGACTTCTCGAATAACACAATGTATATACTTTATTGAACACCGGCTTTATGGCTATAATGTGTCAACTAGAATTTGTGATTTCTTCAAACCTTTTTTTCGCCAAAAGCATTTTATACAGACAACTTACACTTTTGCTAGTAACTTTTTTCTGACAATCTGGTAAAAATCCGAGGCTTGTTATTTCCATAAGAGATATCGAGTTACAATGATGTGTTTTGTTTTTTTTTTAATCATCAACAACAACAGCTGCTTTGTAATTTTGTTTTGGCATATTATTATTTTTGTTTTCGACAAATATAAAAATATGGTGTCGATAAACAACAATATAATTTGGAAAAAATCCATATCGACACACATTTACTCGCATGTGTATTAACACATGTCTCGCTGAAATTTATCATTACATTCGCTAAAAGAACGTTTTACACAGTAATTTGTATATTAGTAAAATGCAATAATGTAGGTTTGTGGGATTTAGTTGACGAATTTTTCATAGTTAACCTCGAATGACCATTTTAACATAATAATAGGATATAATATATTCTCGCATAAGGTATTGCACTAGTATAATTCGCTTTAATCGAAGGCCAAAAAAGACAAACGTGTACACTTTAGGCGTCAAAATATAGTATTTATCTAGACCATTTTAGTTTCAACGGTCTTAAAACGCACAAAATAAAACAAACATTTTTGTCAAATTTGAAGCGCTTACAATTTGCAAACAATCATGAGCGTTTAAAAAAAAATGACAAAAAAAGAAAGCTGAATTCAAATTAATAGCAATTCAGAACGGGCAATTGGTTGTGTAATTGTTATTTTTTGTTTCTGTTGTCTAAAGTTTTTGTTAATTATGCTATGAAAACGTTCCTATAGTAAACATGTTTTAATCTGTTATGTTTAAAAATGACTTTTTTTTATGATTTACTATCTAAAACGGTAAAACTTAACCGTTACGAATGTAGTGTTTAACTGTTGCTATTTTCGGATGTATTTAATCAATAACCATCAGTGCGCTGCAAGGAGAATGTATAAATAAATTCACTTTTAATGTACTGTAGCCCCCGTGGGCACAAAAATGTGTAACTAGAATATTGCAAACTCGATAATAATATATAAGATGCTGTAGTGTACACCGCTACAAGCATAACATCTTGATTGCAACGTTATTGACACTCAATATTATTATGACGGTTGAAGTGGTGAGAACCGGAAAGGGTAGGTATAGTGATTTTTATACGGTTTCACAGGAGAGCAAAATGGAAATTATATTAATTTAAATGTGTTTCGGTGAGCCATATGTTGATTGGATTTTTTCAATACATCTTATTTAAAAATGATGAACATTTTCAAAACATACACAGTTAGAAACTGGCAGTTCATTGGCAAATATTTCATGAGAAAAAACTCGATTATTTCACTAGGTCGCACTCGCTCTTTAAATTGAAGGACTGCGAGGAAAAAAGATCAATGTCAATTTTTTAACATTCTGAGAAAATCATGTTTTTAATTTCAAAACGTAATACATTTTGCCTGTATGCCTAAACTTCCGGCGGTCGTTACTCTCGACTAATCTATTTTTTCCCCTGGTTCGAGCGCATAAAAGATACAATACATCAATACAAATAATTTGATACCAAAATCTCATTTTCGAAAAAAAAAGGCATTGATCTTTTTTCCACACAGCCCTTCAATTGTCTTATCGCTATAATTTGTTGTCTATGCATGTTTTAGGCGTTTGTTGTCTGAGAGCAGCCGATGGTGACATTAGCAAACAAACCACGAGCAGGCAGTTACATTGTCTATGTGCTTGTAACATTATTGGGCGCATCGTGTCAACTGACCACAATGTTTCTTTAAACGATTACAGGACGGATAGGTAAGTAGGTACTGTCTTTTGCAAGGTCCACCAGATGAAAATCACGCCGGGCTAATAACCATATTACGTGGTCGTGTGCGAGTATAAATGAGATGAATTTATTTTCTAGCCAGCTTGTCCCGCGTACAGAGATAATTTTTATGGCGTCGGACGTCTGCAATTTGTTCGTCTGTTGAACATACATAATTGTAATCATCATTACCTAATCGGCTGGCCGTAGTAACGAGTCTAACGTGTATTTGCTGAATAACATGCGATGTGTATTTATTAAATATTGGCTCCGGACTGGTCTCGTTTTCAACGGTATTTCTCTCGTCTATACAGTTTGCTTGCAAATGTGCGCACACAGGTCGGACAACGCCCGCCGTTTGTTTTATCTCTCAGCACCTTTGAAACTATCCATTACCTTGTACATACCTTTGGCGTTGTACGTTCAGGGAACACACGATCCCCGGCATGGTCGTTTTCACATGCTTTTACTCTGATGATCAACACCTACATAACATAGTTAATAGTATATATGCCGCCCGAAATCATTTACCGTGTACAACAATAGGGAGGTTGGCGGCGGCGGTGGTATACAGTATAGGGTAAGTGTACACATGTAAGTCGATTCCCCGAAGTGTGCTTTGTAACGTTTGATTGATTCGCCTCAAAAACAATAAAGCGACGCCCGGGGTTAGTGGATATTTTAATATTGTCTATATATTATGTACCGTGCATAATCGAGCAAACAGCCGAAACCACCGTGCCGACAGCATTTTGTTTGATCAGTCTTTGGGCTGTTTGTTGTTGTTATTAGATACTTATTATTGTTATGTAAGATATGGCGTTTTGTTGCCTGGGTCTGCGAAATCCGATTAGGTCAGGTCGTGGAACAAACGAGTATAACAACGTCATTGTTATAACGATTAAACTGTAATATACAGGTTATTGCTAAATATAGTCTGAATTGATGCACAAAAAAAGAAAGGAAGTATAATTATTATGATGAGGATGTGATTGATACCCTTTTGTCAGGGGGTCTCGCTGCAAAGCGTATTGTGTTCAACGCTGCTAATAGGCTATTTAACTGTCGAGTGCATATATGCACTCGTTTTGCATACACATTGCGCCGTTAAGTAAAAGTTGTATTAACACTGCACGTATCATGCGGATGTTTGCAGCGTTCCAAAGCGGCAAGATAAAAATTATAATATGATAAAATCAAAATTATTTTTCAGGCATCTACCGTTGATTACTTTGTCCATATAGTGTCATCCACTATACATATTATACAGGCTACTGTGCATTATTTGTTGGGTGTATTATAATACAAGTACATTTTTTGTTTGCGTTGGTGTATTACAGGCTGGCATAATATGGGCTGTGATTCGTAGATGAAAATAATATGAGAATCATCGAGATGCATGTGGCCGTTATAATTGTATACTCGGTACATCGTTTGTCATTAAACGTGTGGGATGGCGACAAGAGGAATGAGGATCGATGGCACTATTTGACCATCAGGTGGGTTTGAACACTATCCGTGTACCTTTATTAGTTGTTAATAATGGGAAAACTGTTTTATTTTAAAATTAAAAATTAAATGCATCGGCGACCTTTGGTTAAAAATTTGTTTTTTGTTGATTCTTGTGTGTCTACATAAGCAAGAAACTAGTTGCTCTCACACTTAATTAGGTTGTATGTGAGTACGACAGGAGCCTGGACTTATACTTCCTTATACGTCACAAAGAAATGATATATTTCATGTTAACATTTTCAATACTATAAAGAAAAATAACTTATAATCAAAATGAGGTTGATCCTTAACGATAATCGTATAGGGGAAGATGGAGTAGATTTGAATGCATTTGAATAATGTTGATAGAATTGTTTTCACTGTGCTGGAAATATCGAGGAAAAAAATTAAATGGTCACAGGACACAGTATTTGATGTGTTGTGTTGTGTTATCAGCGGATTCTGACTGATTATGTGATAAAGAAATACGCGTTATGAAATATTGTATATTATATTTTTATATTCTTTATTTACTTCAAGTAAAGAAAATTAGTTGTATATAAAATAAATGAATTGTATTGCACATATTTTGAATTTTGATATTATATTAACAGGTTATATTCAAATCTGCCCCGTTTCGATTCAAATGTACCTCCAAAGTTGGAGTATATTTGCAAAAAAAAAATAAAGATTTAATTAAAAATTGATAGATTCAAAATTACTTGATTGGTGAGTTCGGGATAGTATTATGTGCACAAACCTTTAAACTACGGGTCGGAATTATTGTCAAACTTGAAATTTTCCATAAAATAAAATTATTAAAAATAATAATATGATTTTTATTCAAATCTACCCCATCTTCCGCTATAGTTTAATAATTACACATTTAATATTATCGTCGACACCTCCATTATATTAGTGTGCCAAAGTGGCTCTACTGGGCCGGCCGGCTATCTGGACGAGCTTATACGAATTTCGGTACTTGTAGTCGTTTGCTTACTGTTCGGCCGTCGAATAAACTTACTTGCACAAGTACCACTATAAATTCATATTCATAAACGTTAGCGTTGCGCGTATACCTGTTATATTTTCTAAATTACACAAGGTTGTGCCTAGGACGGTTTATATTTAATTTTTCCACCTTCTCCAATCGCAACGTTTTAGTATAGCAACGGCCATTAGCGTTAATGTGTGTTCGGCTCGGTGTGAAAGTTTCACATTTGCGCATAATAAGACGTAGATTTGGCCTTTCTTTTTAATCGTGGGTGTATCATATTCGACCGAGTCAAATAGCGGACCTATTCAGCATACTTTTAAAGTATCGCATGATATCGTGCTGTTATAGGTGTTGCCTCGCTTTTCGGGCAAGATAATATTCTGCTGCAATGGAATTCCACGCGTGTGCTCCAAAGGTGAAAACGAATAATAAT